TATGGCTTTATTTATGTAATACAAGTGCCTTTCTGTCTGTATCCTATGGTTTTTAATAGAAATTGATGACGTGCATGCCATGAGCAGCCAGTGATGCAAGACACAGAGTCAGAGGAATGCAGCATATGATGCAATTGATGGCAGTACAGATAGCAGGTTGATCTCCAATGGGCAGCAGACATGGAAAGAATGTTGCAACCTGACGCCACTTCAGCGGTACAAAGTCTATGGTGAGTCAAGAAAATTTAAGTATTTCCTAACATTAAAATTGCAAATATTTCTTAGTCCTAGATTCATGTCTTAGCATAATTTTTGCAATGACTGTCCTTCATTGAGATGATATATGAGGAAAACGGCAGAGTCATATTCTCTTTTTTTGGCCTAAATATAGAGAGTCGGGAACTAGGACAGCTTTTATGGGCGGAAACCAGTTCAAGCTAGTTCCCGATTGTCTTATACCATTTGAAATCCACTTGTGTTCACAAGCGAGATCCAGTCTACTCATTATCATAATCGATGCTTCGCGCTCGGTAACGGAATCGCACTCGGGATATGGGGACCATTGAATGTACGCTGGGCATGAAGACTACATCACATCGTTCAAACATTAACACGAGTCGGAAATTTAATGTGTTCATGATTGCGAGGGGAGCTCTCAGAATTGAACGGGAAATTTCACTTTTCTCCCGGATCGTAAATAAACTTCAGTACAACCATTTTAATCATCGATGTCTATTTGTACCTCAGGTGGCCTATCTAGTAATTGGGAGGCCATTTTGAGGGTGAAATCTGCATGTTAAAAAGACGATAAGTTGGGTCCAAGCATGGTCCAAGTTACTCGGACTGCTGTGAGTGTAGTCCGAAAATTTGGGACTCTCAATACTGTGTATGAGAGTCCCAAAACTTATGGTATTGAAAACATGCAAAGCAAGAAAATAGACTGGCACCTGAAACAACCAGTCCAACACAGCTTCAGTACTGCATCAATCAACCATGCCAAAAGAATTTAAGAAACGTGTGGCATGAAGCGGGAACTATCCTCAATTTACTACACATTTCTCCGTAGTCAAGCCACCCGACTATTGACACCGAATGAAGAGGTCATGTCTTTTCAAATAGTTGGACCATATGGTCATGATGGTTGGACATGTACCAGTCTAGTATTTAGTCCCATTTTGAAATCACTTGACTTCCCTCTCATGTGCAAAATATTGAAGAAAAATCTCCTTTGAAAATTGAATTGAGTCTCCAACTTGGTTGGTGAAATACTGAGGACATTTTCTTTGCCCGTTTTGTTTTGCACGTTTCAGAGCACTCCAGAGCCCTGTCTGCTGTAAGTGTAACTTAGCCCTAGTCCTAGCCCAGGTTGGACTCTGTTGTGTACACGCAACGGAGTCCAGGGTATGAACCTCTCCTGCCATAGCGAAAAAAGTTTTAACACATTTAGTATTAGTAAATATTGCTTGACATTATTTATGTTTATTGAATTCTTCTCATTGTCTTTGGGTAATGTATTTTTTTTTCATTAGAAAATTGACGTGACAGGTCACACAGTGGATGATTTGGTGAACAAGACAATAGAATACCTTCAGCCCAATCCAGGTAAGAACCAAAATTGAAACATCATTGATGCTAACCTTCCCAAATCCTCCAAAATCCTATTTGCAAAATGTAGGCTTTTGCAGGATTGAGGCTATATGGCAAAAATGTGTGCCTGATTTATGAGGATGCACTGTGTCAAGGTCTTGGGCCGGATCTTGTGTTGTTTCCTGAGCTCAGGGAACCAGACTAGCTGGCTTGCATCCATTCACGGATGTGTAACCGCTTGCCAAAAAAAATGTGGACTAAATAAATTGGGTAAATTGGGGCACTATTTGGACAAATCAGTTTCTTCCAACGATGGTCGGCCGACCATCTTTTGAAATCAATACAAAAATTCCACTTTTCTTAAAAATGACAGCACACCAGGTGCCATGATTTCACAGGATGTCTGAGACTGTCATTCACCTACAGTCAAGTAAAGTATTTCATAATAATTTGGTAGTTTTGTTTGTTGATGTTTACAAATGTCGTTTATTATCTTTAATTGTAACCTTTGGAATAATTACGTTTGGGGTGACTATAGAACACCAGTTTGAATCAGCTGTTAGTATTCATTTCAAACAAACCAAATAGAGATAGATCTTCTATTTGTGTGCTGACCCTAATCAATCGTATTGTCTTTCCTGAACAGTCTCCAGAGCCATGAGTAAAGTCCGTGGTCAGAACAAGGGAGGAACCAAGCCTCAACAACCCGTAGGATTCCTGGGAGAAGTCATGCTGAAGAACGGCAGAGAATTAGGAGAAGATTCAACGTTTGGTGAGCAAGCTTCAAGATGCATTCTCTTTCCTTCTGTGGTAGACTGATCAAAAAGCTTTCAAAAAGGTGCTCTAATCAGTGTTCCAATCCACCAACATAGTACCATGAGTATTGTGTAATTTATGTAGTGCCCAGCACTTCAGATATGCAAGGCCAAGTAAAGAAATAAACCAGTTTCTCGTAGCTGCCCGTTGCCTTTTTTGCACCCACTTTTTATTTTTATTTTTTTTATTATTTATAAATGCATACATTTGCAATATACAGGTGAATCAAAAAAGACAAAACTCAAATGGCAGGACCAATTTTTGAATGAAGTTTTGCCTGTAGCACTTTCCAAATCTAGGATATGAAAGCCCAATCAATGGGCTTTGTATTAACACAAGAATCATTCACATCACTCATTTGCTTTTCAAGTTACGGAATTTTGAACACAAACGCCATTTTAAAGTTCTGTCCATGGATCACAAAGAAATGTACGTGTTATTTCAGCACAACGAAAATAATTCACATGCATCCCTATGAGAATTGTTTTCGTTTTGCTGAAAGAACACTTACTTTTTTACCTAGCCCAACTGGTCTCATTTTGATGGAAACAACAGGATAATAAAATCTTTCCTGTTATAGGTATTATAAAAAGATGGATTTTGTTATGTGTTTGTTTTTGTTTGGATACAGGTACGGCGATGGTCGAGATGGAAGAATCACTGAGGCAACTTTCTGAAGTCAAGGACGCCTTCGATCTGAACGTCAGACAGAACTTTTTGGGTCCCTGGATCATCTCAAGAACAAAGATCTGAAGGCGATCAACGTGAGTTCCATCTTACAAAATCTAACATCATCCATTATGCGGTTGATTCTGATAGAATCAGGACTGTGTTACACAGCCACGTTCGGGGAAATTCAAGCACAAATTAGGGAAAATGGAAAAGCGTAAAGCCACATCAGAATGAAGTGGCTACGGCTAATACATTAGTTGCACCTATGGAAGCAGATGAAGCCACTTCCCATGTGGGCTAGTGTTAGTCGTAGCCATGTCATTCAGACATGGCGTATGCTCACTAACAGAAGGGTTAACCAGGGTTACTGGAAATTACATTCTCATGTAGCGTAATCCGGCGAACAAAGTTAAAAGCCATTTTTGAGGTTGCGCCACGACTATGCACACGCGTTCTTAAAGACGAGGCTCGCAAATGTTTTGGTCGAAGGAGTCCGGTGTGCGTGATTCACGTGAGCCTAGTGCCTCCGCATTTATCCTGAGTTATCCTGTTCACAGACAAACCAAGGCCGATGAAAACATATACCTCACCTCATGGTGGAGGGAAAAAAAGCAGACTGGAAACCTTTTTTTTTTTACTCTGTCTAATAATGCATTTCATAGACCATGCATTTCATAGACAATCTCAGCTCCCAGGGTATAGCACAGCTGTTTAGTTTTGGTGGAAACAACAGAACAATAAAATGTTGTTTTTTATACGTATCAATAAAAAAACAAAAACATTTTTTTGTTTATTTTTTGGATACAGCTACGGCGATGGTCGAGATGGGAGAATCACTGAGGCAACTTTCTGAAGTCAAGGGCGCCTTCGATCTGAACGTCAGACAGAACTTCCTGGATCCCCTGGATCATCTCAAGAACAAAGATCTGAAAGAGATCAACGTGAGTTCCATCTTACAGAATCTGACAGAATTTGGTTGATTTTGATAGAAGCAGGACTGTGTTGCACAGCCACCTGCGGGGAAATTCAATCACAAATTGTGGCCAATCTGGAAAAAAATTTGATACAAGACAAGTGATCGATTACTGGTTGATTTGGGTTGTAACTTATGCCTGTGTACTTTGGGTCATTCGATAAATTTGGGGTCCACTTTTTTCCTGTCCCTGTTACATCTGACATCTGTGATTTTATAATTCTGATGCACTCCTTAATGCAGTCGTCCTCCAAGGGTGATTATGAATAGCAAACTACCTACACAACGAATACAAAATTGTTTAAAGTCATTCTTAACCCTAACTCCCTGGGCATTTTTGCGATGATGCTGCAAAATCCTCCAACTGCCTCCATGTCAAAATTGCATGCAGCCTCAATCCTGCAAAATCCTCCATTATTTCTTGAATGTGATCCTTGGAAGAATGATCACTGTCTCAATCCTACAAAATCCTCCAGCAATCACTGTCAATATGTTGAGGCAGAGCCAGTGACATCCTGGAGCAGTGCGGAGGACTTCAAGTATAATTTATGCACAGCTGAGCATCAACAAACACAAGGCCCGGCCCAAGACCTTGACACACTGCATCCTGCAAAATCAGCCACACATTTTTGCCAAACGGCCTCAATCCTGCAAAATCCTCCTTTTTGCAAAGAGGATTTGGGAGGATTTGGGAATTAAGGTTAGGGTTAATGCAGTCGTCCACCAAGAGTGATTATGTGAAGCAGACAATTACCCAACAAATTGTTGAAGTCTTTCTTAATGATACTTGAACGGCAAATGACATGTTCAGAGATAACAGGAACTCGAAAATTGTCACACTTTGACCCATAATTTATATAAGGAGCCTTACAGCAATGTGCAAATGTATCTTGTCAAACAGTACATTAGCTTTCTCCCCAATGTTTGATTTCTACAGCACCATCGGAAGAAGTTACAGGGGCGACGTCTTGACTTTGACTACAAAAAGAAGAAGCAAGCAAAAGGTAGGCGACAGATTATCTCAACTCCATCATATCAAATCATCTTACATTACTAAAATATCATAACTAAAACAAAAATAAACCATCAGACTTCCAAAGTGTTATTGTTAACCTGACACTAAATTTATCATTATTAATTGTCATAGAGTTTGTCCCAAAAATGTGTCTGTGAAAAAAAGTCTGATGTGGTTTGGGATTGGAATCATTTGCCCTTGAGCATTAAACCGAGGACTTGCCGTGATGACTGATAGCCAGGCAAATGATTCCAATCCCAATTGCAGCCCTTTTCACAACATGCAGGATTTTACACAGCTTACTTAACACAGCACTGAAATTGATTAAGGCAAGGAACTTGGTCACAGTGTCCCAAAATGTTGTTGTGATCAATTGACAAGTGTGCAGTGATGCGTGACTGAAATTAAATGAAACTCATCGGGGTTGAGGCCAAGATAGGGAGTATCTGCACAATCAAACTTTTGCCAATTGGACTTCATGGTTTTGTAGTTATTTCAAAAATAGTCAGACGGACATTTCTTTTGGACATACTGTATAATGCGTATAATATTTGTTTGCAATCAAAGAAAAAGAAAAATTGCATTTAAAATATACGAACACTGTACACACTTACCATAACGCGCACACTGTCGTTTTCTGCTATGCTTCCAAGGATTAATTGGCTTTGTGTTTTCCTTTGTTCCCTGATCTAAACCTTTCCCATAGACTAAGTGCACAAACCAGCGTTGGAGGACAATAGGCACTGTCGTTCGAGTACCGTATTTTGAGTACCGAAATGTGTACTCACAGTTGAGTACTTGAAGAAGACTTTGCAGAATGAATTTTGATGAACAGTTTGAGTAAAATGCAAGCAGGTCTTTAAAGAATTAAGTCAAAGTGGCAAAATGTATAACAAGATCATTAAACCAGATTTGTCCAGGTTTCTCGCAGCGCTAACGTTAGTCTTTTCCAAAACCTGGACACAATTTATTTAGAGCAAATGCATTCAAATTTTCCTTCCTGATTGGTTTCCGTCTAGATTGGTGGGTTGGGTAAGATCAAGACCAACACAATCATCAAGGAGCTCTCCAAACCCTGGATGCTGGATGTGGAAGCAGCATGGAGACCACAGAGAAGTTTCCTTGGAAGATCAGCAAGGAAGAATTCACCATGCTCAAAGAGAAGGTAGAATCTCCTCCTTGGGCTCAAACACCCCCCCCCCCCTCCACAGTGAAAACTATAAACAGTATATTTCTTTTTGTGTAAGTTGGTCAGTAGTGCAGAATGATTCACATGTTAACTAATGCATGCAAAATAGAGAAAAAAAGTGGATTTTAATGACTATCATCCCACCCTATATTTTTAGGCTATAGAAATGTCTAATCCCCCAAAACAGATTTTTACCTACCCTACCACACAGTTGTTGTTTTTGTTATATACCGGTATGTCATAGAAAGTTACACCACAATTTTTGTTTTTGGTTGGCGATATTATTTTAATATGTTTCAATGTCCAATTCATTTCATGGAGCCTTTCAGAGATCTCTCAGGTTATTCTGGGTGGTTGTATGTCTGAGGAAACACATGCTTTATGTCAAAGGGAAATAATGCTCTATATAATTTTTGTTTGTGAACCCCCCCCCCCACCTCTGCCCCCACCTCCCACCACCCCCAGGCTTGACCTACTCATCCCTCACCTCATCTCCATGAAATCCAACTGGGAGAAAAGCAAGCTGCGCGTCTTTGCCACCACGAGCAAGAAGGAGCAAATGGACAGGGAGAAGATGAACATGGCCAACATGCTCAGCAAGTTCCGCATCAACTGCTCGGACGTGGAGGTCATCCCGGACCTAAACAAGAAGCCCAAGGAGTAGAGCCTGAGACGGTTCAAGGAGCTGTCCAAACCCCGGATGCTGGATGAGGAAGCAGGCGAGACCACGGAGAAGTTTCCTTGGAAGATCAGCAAGAAAGTAGTCACTACGCTCAACGAGAAGGTAGAATCTCCTTCTTGCACTCAAGCAACCCCCCCCCCCCCCTCCACAGAGAAAACTATAAACGAGGGCCATTTGGGCGCCATCGTGGCTTATAAATGGTACCAAATACACGATAACCAGCATGAGTGAACCAGTGAAGTGTCCCTCATTCCGGCTTCTGCTTGTTTGACTATAAAGCGCCCTCTTTTGTCCATGCATGGAGACAATACACTTAGAGCTCTTCCCAGTACCCACCTTATACGGAAGATGAATATAGTGCCACTCAATGAGTGTGAATATATTTTTTTTTGGTGCGTGTGAAAATTTTTTTTATGTACAGCGGCCGCCACTTATTATGTGGCGGCCGTCAGATAATAAGTAGCGCCGCCACATAAGTCGCCATAATAAGTGGCGGCCGCTGCAGTACAAAAAAAATATATATTCACACTCTTTTATGTGGCGGCTGCCACTTATTATCTGGCGGCCGCCACATAAAAAAGTGTGAATATATTTTATTTGTACGTGTGAAAATATTTTTTTTTCGCACAGCGGCTGCCACTTATTATTTTTAATTTATGTAGCGGCCGCTGTACAAAAAAAATATTCCCACACGCACCAAAAAAATATATTCACACTCATTGAGTGGCACTATCTGTCTTCCGTAACTTAACGCGTAGTACCTAGTTTTTGTGATTTCAACATACAGGGTGAGCAGAATATTTCGATGAGTATTTTGAGTACCGAAATGTGTACTCACAGACTTTGCGGAATGAATTTTGATGAACAGTTTGAGTAAAATGCAAGCAGGTCTTTAAAGAATTGAGTCAAAGTTGCAAAATGTATAACAAGATCATTAAACCAAATTTGTCGAGGTTTCTCGCTTTTTTTCAGCACTAACGTTGGTCTTTTCCAAGACCTGGACACAATTTATTTAGAGCAAATGCATTCAAATTTTCCTTCCTGATTGGTTTCCGTCTAGATTGGTGGGTTGGGTAAGATCAAGACCAACACAATCATCAAGGAGCTCTCCAAACCCTGGATGCTGGATGAGGAAGCAGCCTGGAGACCACGGAGAAGTTTCCTTGGAAGATCAGCAAGGAAGAAGTCACCACGCTCAAAGAGAAGGTAGAATCTCCTCCTTGGGATCAAGAAGCCCAAGGAGTAGAGCCTGAGACGGTTCAAGGAGCTGTCCAAACCCTGGATGCTGGATGAGGAAGCAGGGGAGACCACGGAGAAGTTTCCTTGGAAGATCAGCACGGAAGAAGTCACTACACTCAACGAGAAGGTAGAATCTCGAGCCTTCCTGCGCTCAAGCACCCCCCCCCCTCCACAGAGAAAACTATCATCAACGAGGGCCATTTGGGCGCCATCGTGGCTTATAAATGCTGGTTCCAAATACACGATAACCAGCATGAGTGAACCAGTGAAGTGTCCCTCATTCCGGCTTCTGCTTGTTTGACTATAAAGCGCCCTCTTTTGTCCATGCATGGAGTACAATACACTTAAAGCTTTCCCAGTGTCCACTTTACGCTAAGTCCCTGGTTTTTGTGATTTTAAGTCCAGTCTTGCAACATCTGTTAATTGTGTCCAACCTTTGACATTCTGGTGGCTGATTTTCAATAATGAGATTGATCACTTTCAATCCATTTTTCCGTACAACTCTCAGTTCATTTGATTTGCCAAGTGCATGGAACTCGACTTTATTAAACATCAATAAATCACTCCATTTTTCCGCCTGAAATCTTTCTTTTTCTTTCAGACCAACAGACAGATGCGGATCCGTGAATTGCTTCTCCAACATTCCCAGGAGGCTCAGCTCATTGTCATGTAAGTACACAAAGCCACTACTAACTCAATGGACTCAATTTCATGGTTTAAGCACACAATTCTGTGCTGATGATCTAGCACACTAGCACCGAAATCCTGCGCTATCCCTGTAAGCACAGAAGTTATCCTCTGTAACTGATTGTTTACACTTTTGCAAAAGCCGTAATTTCTAAGTGTCATGCAAAAATGTCTGTTGTAGTGTTGGCAATTCCCATGAAAATAATGAGTGGCTAATTTAAGGTCACTTACTTCACAATTACGCAAACCTACTCACTATAGCAGAAACTAGCGTGAAATCCTAAACAGGGGTGGATCTAACTTTGGCTGGGGGGTGCGATGTCAAGTTGGGGGGGGGGGGAGATCTGGAAAATGTTTAGATTATTTGCGCCGGGGGGGGGGGGGGGGAGGTGACCGTCTATACATGTAGATCCACCACTGTTAAACCACATTCTCGCCATTTGAGAGCTGTGAAAATTACTTTTAATGTCTATAGAGATTGCACGATTTTAAGCCAAGTTGTTTTTTATGGGAGGGGGGGGGGGGGGGGTCATTTAGACATGAAAAGGGCACTCGCCAATTCGTGCTGAAGGAACATGTAGATAGGTTTTTTTTCACTAGTCACCCGGCCTCCGTAAAATCCAAAAGCGGGGCGTAGGGGGACGGGGCTGGGTACCATCTTCCTATGGGGTGCTTTTCAAACCGGCGATAATGGCCACTATCGGACAATTAACCTATCACGGTGGAACTGCGTCAACGCAGCTTGTGAAATATTGTCTAAACATGATATACAAATGGACGCAGAACGCCAAAATCTGAAACAAACAAAAATTAATGTACAAAATTCCATGAGCCGTTTCGCGGATACCACCATCTTTGAAATGGGGGGGGGGGGGGGGGGGCATTACAATGAAAAGACATCCCATCATTCTCAGCTACAGTTGCATGATGAGACGTATTTTCATTGTAATTCCCCCCCCCCCCCCCCGAAAACAATAATTCAAAGATGGCGGTATCAGCGAAAAGGCTTATAGAGTTGTCTAAGGGGCGTGGTTAACTCGCAAACGGCGGTAGGTCAATGGGTGGCGCTTTTCATGGCGGCACAATTGCTGACGTTTACAATGTACACGAAATACCAAATACTCTTGAAAAGCAGCTGGCGAAACAAGAAACTTTTTTAACAAAACTAAGGACACTTGTGTAAAAACTAAAAGTTACTTGTGTAAAAAGGGCACTCTTTACAGAATTAATACTCGCGGGGGGAGGGGGGGGATTAACCGCTGGTGCAAAAAATGGGGGCGGGGTGAGCAATAGATCTAACAGTGCTTGTGACCCAGTCTGACTGAGCTACTGTGGTCACCTGATCAAAAGTGGTGATCTGATTGGTCAATGTGCACTGTTGATTGACATGCAGGAAGGGTCCATTATAACCTTTTCTTTGATTTCTTGCAGGAGTCTACCTATTCCCAGGAAGCGTACTTGTTCAGCTTACATGTACATGTGCTGGCTGGAGACATAATCCAAGGATATGCTGTCAGCAGGGGCCTTGCATCACCTGACCAAATATGGCATCCAAATAAAAGTCAATACAAAGAAATTCACTTGAAATGATTAAGTGACAAAGGACAATTCCAACCAGTTGAAAGACCCTCCTCACTTGAATGGAATTTGTGCTTTGTTTTGATTGATTTCGTTGAGATTGTTTCTTTACCATCTAACGGGCTCACACTTTCACTGATGTTTTCAAAGTGAGTTTCTCGAATGCAATCAAGTAATACTGATTAAGAAGAATAAAAGTCTTCAAATAATTTGGAGTCTTTTAATCAAGAAACACTTGTCGCACTTTTACGGGCTTTAAAAACAACAGCCAACTCCACTTTTTTCATTACTGTGGGCACGTTTCTGTTTCAACTGAAATTAATTAAAATCATGTTGTTTTTTTTCATAACGAAGCCAATCGAAAAAAAAGAGAGTATTTATCAACAATGGTGGTGCTTTTGGTAATCCTCAGAATGAGGTTTTATGCATACTGTTTTCATAGCAAGTCAATTGTTACTTTTACATAATTCTCACATATTGTAACGTTTAAAATAATGCAATCATTTAATAAAAACCAGTGTGTTCTAATTGCTGTGAATAGCATTAGAATATTTCAAACAATTGTTAATCCAAATGCCAAGCTTAAAGTCTATAAGAATCAGATTCAATCACTCGAGACTTTTTTTGCGACATGAAATAAAAATTGATACATACAGGGGATTGATTTAATTGACATCATCTGTGCTGGGCATACAGGGAACATAAGGCGAAGAAAATAACATGTTATAGTAAACGCCCTAAAATTATCCAGGTAGGTAGCAAAATATTTTGTTTGTTTGTCTGTATGTGTTTTAAACTTTGTTTGCTTCAGGATACAGTTATTGTGTTGAATTAATCTGTTTTAAATACCCAATACTACAAATTAGTTGCATTTATTTTCGGAAAAAAAACATGTTATTTTATATGTTGACCAAGTGTGTCAATAAAGAAAATGGCGGTCAGAAACATGGCCTAAAAAATCCAGGTTGGTCGAGATAACGCCATAAACACAATCTGTTTTTAGTTGTTAACATTTCTGGATACATGGTGGTACTGCTTTATTGCAAACCTTTTGTTTCGAAAAAAAATTATGACCCAGCTTGCTTTGAAAAAATATTTGCTTTGAATCAAAATACTTCCCGATAGGCCTACAATGGATACAATGAAAAAAAAATCGTTGTCAACAAACTTAACGCATACTTTTCACTATATCCCAATACTTGTGCATAAAACTAAATATTTTGTTTTGCTAAAAGTAAAAAAAAAAGGCAAATCCATTGTAGTATATAGATCAGAGCATGCGCAATGCAAAAACATTAATAATAA